CTGAAAGACATAGATTAAGTATAAATAAATAATACATAATATATAATAGATAATACTTGTGAAAAGTATTCCGTCGCGGAAATTGAAACGAAAGTGGGAAAATAATTTCGCTGTACGAAATTGCACGTTACTGAGGATATATTGCTAAGGTACTGAGAGAAAATAATGGTGAACTTGACGAAAATTACAGTTATTTTCGGCGACAACTACGCTTTCATGTTGTTCTAACAGGGAAGTGGTAGTAGCAACGTGCACGCACGAAGAGAATTTTACTCTCTGAATTTCTTGGAGTGAAATTTCATTCGAAAAGTAGAGTGACGACTGAGGCACTCGAATTCGAGTGAATTTTTCGCTTGTATAGAGTGATCTCTCCACTCTGAATCGTCGATCGAATATCACCATCCGAAATTGAAGAGTGAATTTGATGTACACTTGTCCTCAAAACGGTTTGAACGCTTTTTCCTCAATGTAGTTTGAAACGCAGACCACATGGCCCAATGAGAGAATATAACTTCTGGGAAATAATGAAAAAACAAGTTCTCCAACTGGACCATCGGTTAAAACATGCTGAAAAAGAATGTTCAAACCGTTACGCTTCGGACGGCTTCCAGTTTTTACATACACATGCATACATATATATCATCATTCACATTATTCCATTCCTCTATTCTCTTACCTTTTATATTTCTTCTTTTCTAACTCTTTCCTCTTTTCTATTTATCTATCATCACAAGTCAAATTAAATTAACACAAATACTCTTTAACCTTAATTTTAAATTTCCATTATATGAGTAATCTGATATCTTTCCATTATATAAGTAATCTGGTATAAATTATTAACTAATAAAACTAATATAAATTCTCTCTCTCTCTCTCTAATATAAATTAATACAAGTTAATATTAATATTACGTATATCTTTCCTGAGAAGAGACTGGCTACGTGACCGCGTACGAGACTCTTCAACAGGTCGCGAGAATTCTTTTCCCCTCCACTCGAGACGCGTGATGCTTCATTCGTGATGCTCCATCATGGATTACGGAACATTACGTAATATTTAGCGGTACCGTTGGATGCCTACGTAATTAATTATGCGAGTCGTGATGGTGATGGTGGTGGTGGTGGTGGTGGTGGTGGTCGTCGTCGTCGTCGTCGTCGTCGTCGTCGTCATCGTCGCCGCCGCCGCCAGCATCGCAGTGGTCGCGGTGTTGACGGCTCTGAAGGAATCGCGAAACCAGAATGCCTCGTTCTCTCTCGGAGAGAACTTTGCTCCGGGCTGAGCGGTCGAGGAGTACAGTTTGGCGAACTTTCGCAAGAGATGCCGGCGCCGAATAATCGATACCGAAGCCGCTACTATTCGCCGGTGAGCTCCGCCCGTGTGAAGGCAGGCGGCATTCGAATTGCGAAGACGCAGGGGAGGCGCGCAACGTCGTGTGCTCCCAATATTTTAAGATTATCGACTTTCAAGCTCCCCCCATTCACGATCGCGCGAGAACGGCGTAATCCGATATTCCGCGCGCCGTTCATTCATCCACGCAGTGAGAGCTCGTGAGAGATTTTTACGGCGACTGGCGATCGCGCGAGAAAGTAATTTGTCGCGCTAATTGAATACCGAGATATATCCCTACAAATCCGGCGATATCGTATAATGGAAAGAAGAAAAAGAAAACAGTCCGGAATCGCGGCGGAAAAAGGCGCGAAATGTGAAAATCTACGGGCAGGACATGATGGTTGCCCTCGTCCTCGTTTTTCCGTTTTTAGATTCTCTCGTTTCCCCCTTTCGTCGCTAAAATATCTCGGAATTTCATTACGCAGATATCACGGTGCTGCATTAATTCCACGTTAATTCGGGAGATAGCTACGCAGTGTGTTCCCTTTACGATTCCCGGCGGGAACGCTATAAAGGGTTGCGGAAGGAAACGTAAACATTGATGACACAGCTCGGTCAAGTTTTTCAGTCGTAGAGGTACCTTCGCTTCATCACGCACGATACGACGCGATAAAACGCGAGAAGGAACGATTATTTGCTACACAGAGGGAGAGAGAAAGAGACGCTCGTTTTCATTTAGTGACGTCGCGCTCGCTCGCGTGCTTCCTACAAAAAGGAAGCGACGAAGCACCGAGAAAACAACACGTGCTCTCCCGAGCAACGATCTCTCTCCTAGATGTAGCCGGTCTTGTAAGCGCGATCAGGTAAGGAGAGATGGCAAGATTATGGACCACTTTCTTTGTTTTAGACGAAAAATCCAATGCTATACGCAGTAATTGAATATTATTAAGTAAATATTGTCTTGAAAATATTGTCTTGAAATTGGATATTTACTAAGTAAATATTGTCGACATATTGAGAGATTCTTACGTGAAAAACACGATGGTATAAGTTGGAACGACGTCAGACGCTTAATTTCGAAGTTATGAAACGATTCCTCCCGGACGTGACGAGAAATGTTGAAACATTCATCTAAGAATGGAAAGTTACGGAAATTTCATTCAACGACTGTCAGAAGTGTTAACAAGATAAGAATCCTAAAGGTTATATTTACTTCAGTTATCGACAGATCGCAGCAATTGTTCAGCCTTGTTTCTTATTACTACCTTCTACTTTACACATAGCGCCCTTTACGTCGTTCGGGCACGTAGTTTTGCCTTATTCAGTGTTTCGCACTGTGCGTGCACGTGAAACATTTGCCTGGCGAACGGCCAGCAAAAACCAAGCCTGCTGGTAATCGACTCGACTTATTTTCACGGCAAGGCTTCGGTAACGTCCGCGGTTTACGAACCGAAAATAACGCCAACAGTGTAAACATTGGCGAGTTATAATCGATGCGAAATATCGATCGATGCTGGTATCTAGTCGCGTGGAGAGAGAGAGAGAGAGAGAGAGAGAGAGAGAGAGAGAGAGAGAGAAGACGCTCTTCTCGAGGCTTCTCAGAAAGAGCGAAAGAGGTAGGCAGAGGAAACATTAGGAAATTGATCGATCGCGCGAAATTTATTCCGTCCCGGGAATACATTTAATCGCAGCTGAAGATAAACCAAAGTTTAACGAGCGTTGGCGGGTGCGTTGTGTATTTGTCGCACTGAGATTGATTCGGGGTGCGTCTGTGTCTTGCCGAGAGAGAGAGAGAGAGAGAGAGAGAAAGGGGGAGAGAAAGAGAGAGACAGAGATGTTTATGAACGCCTTGGAACATGTCCTTTAGGGCAGCGTACATTATAAAGTAGCTAAAAATATTATATCAAAGAAAAACAGTATAAAAAATACAAAAAACAAAAACAATAAAGTAAGATAAAGTGAAAAAAAATAAAAAAAATAAATAAAATGAAAAAGAAAAAAAGCAAAATTAGTATATATATACATGTATAAAAATAAATCCAGAACGTAATTTAAAAAAGAAACAAAAAATAAATGTATATGCAGCAATTTAGAAAAAATGATCATTTTTTGCAAAACCTTTTGAGAAACCTTTTGCATAGTTGAATGTGTATATTTGGATAATAAGATTCAGGGAGAAAACCCTAGTCTCGCTACAAACACATTCATTTTACGAAATTTGAATTTTTTAAACAAATTGGACAGTCTGTGCGTACATAGAGAAAGAAAAAGGGAGATCGGGAGCGGATTATCATTCATTCTCATCAATAGACAGACTTTTAACAAGTCACGCGCTTGACATCAAAACGTGGAGACGATTTAATCCTCCCCCTTTCCGTTCTCTCTCTCTCTCTCTCTCTCTCTCTCTCTCTCTCTCTCTCTCTCTCTCC